CTCTCCAAACTTCTGCCCCTGTTGGGCAGGGAGAGCTGGGAGTGCTTCCATTTCTGGAGCAGAGACTGCAGAACCCAAACAAAACCACGACGGGAGAGCGTCGGCCACCGGCACGGACCGGCCGCAACCTGCATCCCGTACCAGCTGCCGGCTGATCCCTGCAGCCAGGCTGGGGTTCCTCCTGGGTGGCTGCCACCCCCTCCCTGGGACCAGGCACCCCCTTGACAGAGGCTTTTTGCTCAGCCCCAGGGGCTTTTGGCCGTGCTTGAGCGGGCTCTTACCTCCCCGTCTCCATCCGCCTCCCGCCAAGGCCAAGCCCTGCGGCGCTGAGCCCCTGCCAGGGCAAGGGCAGGATCCGGCCGCTGGGACTGACGCCCGTGGGCAGAGCCCTGCAGGGTGATGTGGGCTCAGGTTTGAGACCCGCCACATTGTGCCCGCCTCGAGGAGCAAATATTTCCAAACTGCTGCATTTGTACGAGCGTCCCCCTCCTGAAACAGAGAGATGATGCTGAAAGCAGGTTAACCCCCCTTGAAAGGGAGGGCCTGTGCCAGGCTGGCACAGAGCTTCGGCTCGTCACCCCGGCGTGACGGTGGTGCCAAGGTTTGTTGCCTGAAGGGGCTCAGTCCTAGGGAGCTTGTCAGAGGAGCCGGGTCGCTCCCCTTCCTGCCCTTGCTCGGGGTCCCGCTCACCTCCCGGCTCAGCCCACAGGTGCTGGCGTGTCCCGGGGTGTCTGGGAGCCGGTGGGGTGCCTGGCCTGTCACCTCCCCTCCCTGGGAAGCCCAACCCGCTGGCTCCCACGACTTGGCCCCACGCAGCACAGACTTCAGCATGTGCTGCCCAAGTTGCAGGTTCCCAGGTCTTGCGCAGCCCCCCCGCAGCCCCCCCGCAGCCTGGCCTCCCTGGCTTTGTGCAGCCGTACAAAGGCGAACCTGTCCGGGCTGCTCCACGTCTCAGGAGCTGGCTGATAATTAAACAAAAGCAAAATAGCCTTGGCATGAAACTTGACCTTTCCAGAGCTTGGGAGGGGGGAAGGGGAATTTTGCATTATTTGTGGTGGTGGTTATTTTTATGCATTATGCTTTTTTGGTGGACATCTCTGTGCTAGATGGGGGGGGGGGGGAGACCAGGGAATCCCTGTGCTCTGATGATGGGCTGGGATGTGGGAGACAAGGTCAAGGCTGACCCTTCCCATGGCACATCAGTTCCTCTGTGCCCCACAGATGGAGGGAAGCATCCCTCCAGCCAGCTTCCTCCGGGATAACAGGCACGGTCCTCTCGAATGGAGGAATCTCAGCGCTGGAGGGATGCCAGTGCCTCGGGCGTGCTGGCCCTGTCCCCATCCCTGTGTGGGATGGAGGCACTGATGCGGCTCCCAGGCCACCTTCATCCCAGCTCAGGGAGCTGATCCCAAACTTTTGCCACCCTTTGCCTTATAAAGGTCCCTGCAACACCAAGGTACCCAAATAGCTCCCAGAAAGGGGCTCTGTTATTGGCTTCTCCCTTGGCCCCCCGCTGCAGGGAGGGGGGTCCCTCCCCTGCACGTAGCCCTTCCCCATCCTCTGCTGCACCCCCCCGGCACAGGGCTGCCACGTCCTGTGCCCACACCCAACAAAGCCTGGCGACAAATTAATCTTCAACTGGGTACCTGGGATTGTTGCCGTGATGGTTATTACGCTGTGTCCTGCCTGGTGCGGCATTAATGATTAACACCCCATGTTCCATGTCGGCTCCTGCCTGCTGCCTTTTGAATTGCCCTTCCATCGCCTCCTCTGATATCCCGACAAATCCCCGGGGGCACAGAGCTGCCCAGAAAGCACCCTTGGGGCTGGGTGGGCACCCAGGATGGTTTATCTCTGGGGCAGGGAGGAGGAGGAGCAGAAGGGGAGGCAAGGAGGAAGGCTGTGCGGAGGAAAGGGTGCATTGCCTCACTTCTTCCCCGGGGCCAGTCCGTGCCCTTCGAGGATGTCCTCTCCTCCCAGATCTGCGAACAAGCTGTTACAGCGGGTGGGGGGAAATCCCCCGCAGCGGGCACTCCTTGGGCAGCTGATGCCAGATGAGGTTGCTTTTGCTTCTTCCCATTGGCTCCCTTTATCAATACCAACCCGGAGAGCTAAGATTCCTCCTCCCACTCATTACGACCTTGTCCCCCCACCCAAGCTCATTCCCAGGAGGGAGGGGGCCCCTCGTTTCCCGAAGCGCTGAGCTCTGCCCGCTCCCTGCCAGCACACACCCCTCTGTTACGCAGAGTTTTGCCCGTTGTGCCCCGGGACAGGCCGTGTCGTAGCGAACGCGCCCTGCAATTCCCCTGGCACTTTGGCCCGTGCTCGGCACCCATCGTGGCGGGGCACTGGGTGCGCAGGCACCCCGTGGGGCTGCTGGAAGGGGGTGAAAGGCAGCTCTTCAGGTATCTCCCTTCACCTTAAGGCCAGGAGCTCCAGCCCCTAATTTTCCCCACCCTGTGCCCACGGAGATGCTGCCCTGAAGGAGGCTGCCAGGAGGGGCCGGATCCATCCCCCCCAGCCCATGCTCCAGCACACACACCGGCCCCTTCTTTATTGCCTCCGAGGGAGCAGCTCATCACCTCCCCAGGGAGAGGGGAAAACCCAACCCAGGAGGAAAACAAAGTCTACCCCTGGGCCCAGCCCTTGGTTCCCGCTGGCTCTGCCCATCCCAGAGGGTTTCTGCCTGTGCTGGTGCCGGTTGGCCAGGCTGATCGGCACCCACACACGGGCTATGGCCCACGGTGGGTGGCACAACCCATGGCTAGGGAGCACTGAAGGGTGCACGGCCGGAGACAGCGGTGACGCAGGCTCGGGAAGGCAGCAGGGCGCTGCCCGCTGCCTGCAGTCCCTGCTAGGGAGACTTTACCCTCGTGCTTTCCACCCACCTTGTGTCATGGGTGGAAAAGAGGAACCCCCATCCTGGCATACACACCCCGTCCTGTCAGCTGCTCAGGCACCTCGAGTCCAAGGACGCCTTCCCCGGGGGACAATAAGGAAGTTTCTGCTTGCTACCGTATGCCCCAGGGGACTTTTTGGCCTCATGCCCCCCAGTGGCACAACTGTCAGCTTTTGGGGTGTTTCCAGGCACCCCAGGATGCCAGTCTGGGGCAGTCAGGCAAGTCTAAGAGTTACAAGGCACAGAGATGCCTGGTGGCACCCGCATGGGTTGGTGGGGACAGTGGGGGTCTGGGGCGCATCCCAGGGCTGGAGGGGGGGACCAGCTTGGATGGAGTTTCCTCTGGGGAGCCCAAAAGCTCTGGCGGTGCCTGGGCAGGGGGAAATGAAGGGCAGGGGCACGGTGGGTGCACAGGGGAGGCTGCACCAGCCTGGTTTACCCCCCCGCTGCCCCGCTGCTGCCCTTCAGCTGCCAGAGGAGCCAAAAGCCGAAAAGTTCGGCAAGGGGGAATCGCATCCGGGAGGAGGAACTGGTCCTTCGAGTTTCCCCAGCAGGCAGAGGGGAGGAACTAAGCCTGTGGTTGCAGGGTTATTGCCAAAACTCAGCACCACAGAAACTGCCTGCCCTGTCCCGGAGAAACCCCATGTCCGGGAAGAGCTGTGAAGCCGGGGAGCCTCCCGCCAGCCTGGCATCGCCTCGGAGGCTGCTCCACCCCGCGGAGGGTGCTTGCCAGGGGCCGGCTTTGCAAGGCAGCCCCAAAAAGGGGAAGCAGAGGGGGACATGGCCAGGCCAGGCATGCCTAGAAGTGCCCAGCTTGGTGCCAACCAGCTCCTGGGCACCACGAGACCTCCGGGAAGGGCTTTGGGCAGCGCCGGGCTCCAGGCAACTCCTGCGTACTCAGAGAGGGAAAAGTGGAATAAAAGCCCTGACATCACCCATGAGGTCACTAGTTTATGGTGAAACCGGGACCTTCACCTGTCCAGTGAAGAGGAGGAGGAAGAAGAGGACATTTTCTGTCAGCTTCCCCCCACACCTCACTGTGGGGCAAGGCCAGAGCCCACATCCCCGGGGCTGAGTCACCCAGGGTGGGGAGCAGGTCCCCCCACCCATTCCGCTGCTACCCAGCTGCTCCTGCCAGGGTGCTGGATGGTGCTGGGGAGATGCCAGACCCAGAGGGGCCATGGTGGTGCCCCGGTGCAGCCCCGTACCCAGTGCAGGAGCTGATAAGGGGGTGTCAAGGCGGGCACAGAGCAAGGCGGTGCACAGGGAGGCTGTTTGCACACTGGCCTCCTGCCCCGCTGCTAATCACCCCGTCCTTCACCACCACTGCCCCACAGCCCTCGTGCTCTGCCCCACGACTGGGGAGGTAGAGAGCCTCACGTTAAAAATGGGGTGAAGCGGAACTTGACAACACTCACCCCCCCAAGCCACCTACCTTGGCCTCGCTTTTGAAACGGGGAAACTGAGGCACGGCAAGTGGATGCTCAAGTTGGGGTGGTGCCAAAGGCAGGGAGGGAGCGATGCTGGGGAAAAAGGGTGGCTAGAAACCCCCCTCCCAGATCACCCATGACCCCCCACCACCCCCACACATAGAGGGACTGTGGGTGCATCCCCAGGGGAAGTGTGGGACAGGGCTGGGGGGTGGAGATGCTCGGAGATGGGGCTGACAGGACCTGCTCCCCCTCAACACCCCAAGAACCCCATTTGGGGTTCCTAGAGCTGATGGGGACACGGGCACCAGTACAACCCTCCCAAGCCAGCCCTGCCTTTCAAGCCAAGCTGTTGCTCAGCCCGTGAAGCGGCGTTGCCGAGCGAGCGGCGGCTGTTGCGGTGGGCAGGACAGGTTTGCAAGGCTAATGGCAGCCCCCGCCGCTCCCCGGGTGTTGTGCAAACACCCAGCTGCTTGTTTCCAAGCACCCGAGCAGGCGAGGAGCCGCGGCGGAGGGAGGGCACGCAGGCTGCGGGCAGGGCTGTGCTGCCTGCGTGGGGCTCAGGGCACAGGGGGGGGCAAGGCAAGGCAGCCCCCAAACCCTGCTGCGCTCCCCCAGGCAGAGAGGATGTTGGTTGAAGGCAGCACAGAGACCAAGTGCAGCCAATAATGTGTATCCAAGATGAAAAATTTATTTGGGTTTTGGTTTTTTTTTTTTTTTCTTTACAGCATGGAGAGGGGCTCGGCCGTGAAACAAGAAGGGAGACGGGGCAGCCCTGGCCATCACAGAGCCAGGGACCAACAGGGCTGTGCTTCATGCCAGGGCAGGGCAGCAACTAGGGGACAACACAGTGACAGGGGCAGGGCTGGCAGAAAAAGGGTGTAGGGGTAGATCCATCCCCATGTGAGGGTGTAGTTACCACCTACCACACCAGCCCCGGTTCAATGGAGGGATGAAGGGGGGAGCACGGACCAGCCCCCGCGTAGGGACACTGGGGACAGCATGGGAGAAGTACCGTACGTGGCTGCAAGGGTTTAATCAAGACATCACTGTGCCGCTGCCAGATCAGCAGCCCCGATCAGTCCCTGTGCTGCTTTATCTCCTGCTGACATTGGCCAAACAGACGAAGCAGCTTCCGCGCCTCCCCGCACCCCCCTTCCAAACACCCCCCAAATCTCTATGTACAGACCCAGTGTGCCGTATCAGTACAAAAATATACACATAAACTCTACAGATCCCAGCTCAGTAGATCAAAACATAGCTATAAATCACAGTGCACAGGACAGCATCAGGCCCAGGGAGCAATGGGGTCCCCCTAAGAGCGTGGCACGCCACGGGCGCACCCCGGCTTTGGGGGGGTACAGGTCATCCTCCTGCTTTGTGGGGTCATTTCTGATCGAGATGGCAGTACAGGTACATGGAAACCGTCATGGCCGCGATCTGTGGGCAGCAAGAGGCGAGTCAGCCCCCGTAAGTGTCCCACCCCAGCAAGGGTCCGGGTCACAGCCCGCAGTATCCATCCCCAGTGCACACAAGGGAGTAAGAACCAGGTGGGCCTGGGGAAGGCGGCTTAGTAGCCACCCTGGGGCAGATGGTGGTCCATGGGGCTGCACCAGCCCCCTGCAACCCCTTGGCCACCCCAGCCAGTCCCAGCCCCACCGCTCACCTCCAGGTACAAGGAGGAGGCAGCCCAGCAGTGCTCAGGCACTCACCTCCAAGGCAGCGATGCCGGCTGCCACACCACCCACCACTCCCGCGTTAGTCTTGATTTCTTCCAAGATCTGGTCGAAACAACCCTGCAGGAGGCAACCACGCAGGTGAGGGCGAGCAAGGGGTGGCGATCCCCCAACCACTGGGACATAACATCCCCAGAAAGGGAGATACGGTTCTCCAGCCTACAGCTGCACGGCCATCAAGAAGGTTTGAGGGCTTCAAGGGGCAACTCATCTCATCCACTTCTCAGGCCAAAGCACAGTATTGTGGGGGAAGGAGGGGAAGAGGCAGGGAAGTCACCCAAAAAGGCAGAGGTGCCTGGGTTCACGCTCAGCTCCAGGCATGCTCCCTGCTGCAGAGATCCCTTCAGGCCAGAGCAATGGTATCAGCTTTGCTTGTCCCCACCAGGGACAAACCAAAGCCGCCACAGCGTCCCATCCCCCAGGACTTAAAGCCCATGAGACCACCACGTCCGGAGCTGGGGCTGGAGCTACAGGACAGGTCTCCTTCCCCATGCCAGGGCACACCCCAAACCAGGCTCTGCCAGAAGACAAGGGCCGCTGGTGTGTCCGTACCGGGACTTCGCTTTGTGCAGCAATTGTGCTGTTGCAGGCCTGCATGTCCTTGCAGCAGGGCGGTGGGTAGGTCCGATGTTCCTCAAGCCAGTGGGAGTCATCAAAGTCTGTGTAGTTATTCAGACCACAGCAGTGGACCTAAGAGGGAGAGAGAGGAAGGGATGGGGAAGGCATCCTTTAGGTCTCCCTCCCGGGTTAGACATGGTCTGGACCCCACTGCCCCACAGAGGGGGTCCCTCAGCTCAACCACACTCTGGGGGGACACTCAATGGCCTTCTTGGGACCAGGATTTTGCCTCGCACTCTAGCATGCACAGCTCTCACCCCAGCCACAGGACTGCTAGTTCCCAAGCTGGTAGATCCCAGGCACCTGAGAAGCTGGTGGAGTGGTGACAGCTCAGCACATTCAGGAATGCTACGGTGTCCCCATTCCCATCCCGCTGGCCCACCCGGGTGTGCACCACCAAGCCTGTGCTGGAAGCGCCCTGACCCACAAGTGGGGGCCCCAGGGCTCAGCGCACCTCCGTCATGGTCACATTCCAGATGTGCGTGAAACTCTTATCCACCCCGTACTTCTCCTTCAGGAGAGGGGTCACCACGGCTGTCAGCAGCGTCTCCGCCTGGAGGAAGAGGCAGAGAAACACCATCAGAGAAGCTCCTGGGGAACACCACAGAGCCAACAGCCCCCATACTGGTCTCAGCCCATAGGAGGAGACCAACCAGACCCATGGTGACCAGGAACACCAGCAGAACACCATGTCCCTTTGGCCCAAGGACAGCCTGGCCCCTTCCCCACTAACCAGTGCTTTATGGCACCAAGGCCACTTAAGACCAGTGAGTCATCTGATAAGCGGCATAACTGAGGGAGCTAGGAATGACGTTTGCCCTGCGGTTGACTTCTCCAGTGCCTAATGAGGCAGTCAGCTTTCTCCCCAGGTGGTTTCTCAGGTGCCTAATAAGGGGTTGAGTTTACTCAGCACAAAGCATTAGGGACTTCCTCTCTTACATGGCTCCTACCATTAGAGGTGGCGACGTGTCAAGCCCAGGCTGGTGCTGGACTAAGAGGGTTGAGAGAAGCAGGCAAAACTTGTACCATGACCCCCGTTTCTTTAGGGCAATGGGAATCTCTGTTCCTACCACTCTCACCCTGGCCAGGCTGCCCCAGCCTGCCCATGTAGCTGTTGTTGGCAGGGACCAGCACCCCTTCCTCCTGTAGCAGTGCCCACCTCTCAGTTTCCCCATCCACAGGCAGCACTGCCAGCCCCAGTGTCTCCTTTTTCACCAAAGGGTAGGACAGGTCCCAGATTAGCCCAACCCAAGACTCAAATATGCCACTCACAAGACCTGTGTAGACCAGAGCCACCACGGCAGCAGCAATTTCAGCAATTAAGATGATCAGCACCACTGAGAAGAACTAGGATACAACAAGGGGAGGAAGGTCAGAGCAACAGCCAGAGTCCACAGGATCCCCAGGAACCCATCTGGCTCCCAAGGGCCAGCAGAACCCTCCCTCAGGGCTCAGGCCCTTTCTCATTGCCTTCAGCTCTGCTCCAAGGCAGAAGCAGCGCAGCCTTGGGGTCCTCCAACCCTCCGTCTGCATGGGGCTGATCTCTCTGGACATTCTCCAAGAGAGACTTCTGCTCAGCACCAGCTTCTGCTTCCTTTCACCCTTGCCCAGGGCAGACTTTAGGTCCGGCACTGCCTTTCCAAGGTCCACCTTTCCACCACATGGAAACATCCAAGAAGCACATCTCCACAGATAAATCTGTCCCTCAGATCCCCCCCACCAGAGACCCAGCTCAACTGAGGCTTGATAAGGAGACATCACGTCCATACCATCATCAGGAGACATTTGCTCTCCTTCTGGGCACCATAGCACCCGAGGAAGCCGATCACCAGCAGGATGGCACCAATGACGATGAGGACGTAGCTCACGTTCACAACCTGTAGGATGCTGGAGGAGAGTGCCCCAAATATATCCAGGAATGACTGTCCATCTACGGTGACCCAGATGCCAACTCCCAGGAGGGTCCCTCCACCGAGCTGGGAGGAGAAAGACAATGTCAGCTCCCAGGCAGGCAGAGACCTGGGATTTGAGGAAGGTCCTAGCACAGGTATTTCTTCCCTCTGCAAGTTTTCAACTGTACCAAAGCAAGGCTTTGTGGTCACTGAGGGCAGCTCAAGGCATTGCAGCCACATACTTGGAGTTGCCGGATGGGTCACTACCCTGAAACACACCCCACCACGAACACATCCCCAGCTGCGGTGTCACAGCCTCCCCCTTCCTCGGCCCAAGGAGTTTCGGTGCCAGTAGCAGGGCAGTCAAGCCAGCAGTGTCACCAGCCACCCCCCCGACCTCAGAGGGACCCACATGGCCAGCTCAGACACTGGCCACCATCACACTGCCACAAGCTCCTCCATCTGGGGAAGCTGCTGCTCACCCGGGGGAGCGGCTGAGCAGTCCCCGGCCCCAGATGCTCGCAGATTCCGACAAGGGCAGCTCAGGGATCTCTCTTTAATGTGTTTCACCGGCGCGAGACTGAGGGATCTGTAACCCTCCTTCCCAAGGCTACATCCCACCACACTCCCTTCCAGGTGGCTCCATCGCTCCTGCAGAGCCAGGGTAGCTCTCAGGAGCCCCCACTACCCTTTGCCCTGGGTGGGAGCTGAGGCTGACTGCGTTCTGGACACCCCCAACATCCAAGATACCCAACACTGCAGGTTGCCGTCACGCACTTGGGCTGCTCCCCTGAGGAGATGGAGCCCCCCCCAGGCAAGGGACCCAGCAAACCCCCCTGCTCTGGGGGCACCCAGCACCCCCCACCACAGCCTCAACACGGGGAGGGACACAGGTGGCTGATGCAACAGTCACCATCCCCAGAGCCCAGCACGGTCCCCTGGGCTTTGGCCAGAGCTGGAGAACAAGAGACCCCCAGGAGGTTAAGTCCTCAGCTTGGGGCCAGAGACCAGATCTTGCACCCCAGCGGGGTCCCAGGGGCATGAGTCCCACCAACACGCAATGCCCCCCTCTCCATCCCCCACAGAAGGGGCATGGGGGGGGCAGCACAGCCCACACGGCTTCGCCCACCCCATGCCCGGCTCAGGGTGCCCCCCAGGAGCCGCTCCTGCAGACCCCAGCCCCTCATCCCAGTCTCCCGGGACGATCGGGGTGGGGAGGCATGACGACGACGACGACACTGCCAGGCTCGGGCCCCCCCGGGCAAAAACAGCAGCTGGGGTACACTTACGAATATAGCCAGGTTGAAGAGGATCATCATGACCTTGATAAAGGTGAAGCACCCCATCTTTGCACCTGGGGGGAGCAAAGATATTATCAGGGGCAGCCCCCACCCCGGCACAGCCGCTGCCCTCCTGCGTGTGGGGCTTAGCCCCCCTCCAGGTGAGTCTGAGGGATCCCCACGGGTAGAGTGGAGAAGAACCCACGGAGTCCACTCCCCGAAAAGCCGAGCCCAGCCTACCTGAGTGGAGAGCAAGTCCCAAAGCCCCGACCTCGCCCGCCTCGACCGCACTGCCACCCCCCCCCCCGCCGCCACCGCCTTTTAAGGGGGAGCCCCCCCCCCCCCCCCCCCCCGCCCCGCCCGGCCCGGCCCGGCCCCCGCCGGGGCCACCCCCTGGGGCTGGCGAAGCCACGCGTGTCCCTGCGTACCCGGTAGCTTGCTGCCCTCTGCCGCCGGAGCCACCCGCCCCGGGGGACACGGGTAGCCCGGCCGGCTGCTGCCGGCGCCCATCGCCGCGGCCTCTTGGCGTGGGGTGGGAGATATGATGTCCCCGTCCCACTACTGCAGTGAGACCCACGCGTGTGCCTGTGTCCCCACTCAGAGCCCCACGGAGCGGGAGGCTGGGACCGCTGGGATGAGGATTTTAAGGGGCAGTGATATCAGTCCCCACGGGGGTGGGGGGGGCTTCACCCCATGGCAGATGCTGCGGCCGTGGTGGGGGTACCACCCCACCGCCCTCCTCGGCAGGCGCTCGCCACCGGTGCTGGGCACTGTGCTTGGGATTTTCCAGCCGTGGACGGCCCCACAGGTCACAGCCCCCCTCTGCCACCCACCCTCAGGCATGGCCATGGTTGAGTCACTCCGTCTTCCCAGGCCAGGCTGGTGCTGTGGGTGAGCTGCCGGCCCTGCTGCTTGGGCAGCGATCTCCCCAAAACCCCAATCTCCAACCTCCTGGGCCTAAACAGAAGCAGGCAGAGGAGGGCACGGGGGAGCGGCCACGCGAGCCAGTTTGCAAAGGTAACACCAAAGCTGTACAGCCTGTCCCTAACTGCTGCGCAGGGAGGCAGATTTTCGCTGGCGGGGACACAGCAGGGTGATGGCAGGAGAGGACAGTGACAGCCGTAACAGATGCCAGTGCTGGAGCAGGTCAGCAAAGACCTGCTATTGCCTCCGGGCTGCCAAAAGTGTTTTTCTTTGGAAAGATGCTTTGAAACAAGGCTGTTTCCCACGGAGCGGGGCTGCAAGAGAGCCAAACAGCACCAGGGGGATGCTCCGTCCCCAGGACTGACTGTGGGGGTGGTCCCTGCCCATCCAGTGCGCCTTTAGGGCAGGGGCTGGTGTTGGTCCCCTCCCCAGCACCCACAGTGTGTCCCTTCAGCTTGACACCAAACTGAGGAGCGATGCAGGAGGCCCTTGTCCTGCAGCAGCGGGCAGCAAACGCAGGCTCAGGGTGCTCACCACGCTCCACCCCGCGCCCAGCTCCCCCGAAACCCCACAGCAAATTCCCTGCTTGGCCATAATGATACATTTCAGCAGGATGAAGTCAGCCCCCTTGGGCTCCAGCCAAAGCCCAATGGTATTCGGGGGAAGCCTTCAACCCTCCCAGGCACCCTGGGTATTAATGCAACCTGTGCTGGAGCTGGGGGCTTTAACCCTTTCCCCCTCGCTGCCTGAAGCCTCAGCCCTTCCCTGCAGCAGCTGACCATCCACTGCGGCCATGAAGTGACTCAGGGTGAGGGGCTAAGCCTTCACCCCTCTCCCAAAGGGGGACCGCTGCTCCCTGAACGCGAATGAAGACCCCCATCATATTGCCCCTCTCCCAAAAGTTGCCCTCTCCCAGCCTGTCCCTATTCGCTGCATGAATCCCCCCACTCCAGAAATAATTTTTTGGCAAATACGTAAATACTCGCTCTCTTTCCCGATCGTTCCCAGCCACGGGGAAAACCAAAGGACAAGCTATGGGCGGCTCCACTCACCTCCCCAGCACCTGGTGCCGCAGCCTGGGGTTTGGCTGCTCCCCAGCGTCGCCCATCTGAGCCCAATTAAGGAGCCAGGGCTGGATTTTCTGGCTCTCCGGGAAGGCCTGGCCTGACCACAGCAGGACAAGCCCGGTGACATTCCCGTGGCCCTCCTACCCGACAGGGCCCTGCCACCTCCCTGCTGTCCCCATCCCCACACACAGCCCGGCTGGACCCCGAGCATCCCCTTCCCCGGGGCGTGGGGATGCGTCTCACAGGGCATGGGTAGCATGGCTCCTCCCCAGCGACCTGGCCCTCGGAGGCTGAGAGCAGGAAAATAGCCATAAGCGGTCACCCCCGGGGTCCCTTGTCCCCAGCCAAGCCTCTAGCCTGTGCCTGGGGGAGCGCGGGAGCCAGGCGCATGGCTGGTGTCAGGATCCGGCCATGTGTCTGCACCAAGCACCCCTCCCTGGGGTTCAAGGAGAAGCTGCAAGCTCTTCCCCCAGCCTCATGCCTCTTCCACCCCGTGTTTGCCTTTTGAGCCTTCAAGTGCTGAATTTCCACCCTGCTGATCATCTCGGGCCTCGGCATCCTCGGATGAATGGCCGAGCTCGCTGCAGGACCCTTCTACCCAGGGCTCCAGCAAGGCAGTGCAGGATCCGAGGAGGATGAGGCATTTTGGAGCAGCCATCCATTCCTCTCTACAGGCAAATCAGCCTGCACTGCTAACAAAGCATCTGCATGGGAAGAGGCGGGGGGGGGGACACACACACCTAAACTGGCATCTCACATCCAGCGGGGCACAGGGCACCCTGGCAGCCCTCCTGCCAGCGGGGCTTGCTGGAGCCTGCTCAGCCCCCTGCATGAATTAGCAAATGCTAACGAGGCTGAGCAACCTGCCAGCGAGGAGGCCAGGTGGGTGCTGAGCTGGGCTTACTTGGATTAACGCCATCCACAGGGACTCAGCTGGGCACGGGGGATGTCCCCCTCCTGCCTCAGTTTCCCTTCTGGTAAAGCATCAAGCCCTGAGAAGGGGCAGCCATGGAGATCAGCCCAGCCCATGATTGATGGGATTTTGGGGTAGCCCCAGCCAGGTGAGCCCCTTGCAAAGGGCTTTCACGTGTGTGTTTTGGGCTGGCAGCATCTGTCCAGCTGTCTGTCCGGTGTCCAGTCACCTGGAGAGTGGTGGGTGGATGGACACACTGCAATGTGCCGGAGGTGAACCTGGCTTTGGATTTCCAGGTGGAAGTTACTGAATATTGCATATTTATGCTGAATTCACCACTTCCCACCTCCTGCTGGGAGAAATAAAAATCGACAGGAGCCAAAAGTTTTTGACATCTTGAAAATGAAATACTTCAGTTCTCAGCTTCGAAAGGAATCAAAGCGTTCTGACTGGACAACTGGGGAAATCACCAATTTCCCACCCCGGGAGGGACCAGGCAGTGGGACCACACAGATTTCCCCATGGCTGCAGCTCCTGTTTCAGGGGAATCCTCCCCATTTCTGTGGCTATGTGTAAAACCACAACTTGAGTCCAAAAAACAGGAGCTGCCCCATCTGGTGCCATGTTCTGTGCCATGTGGGGTCTGGGGTGTAAATTCAGGGGTGCTAAGCAGGGGCTGCAAGTATGTCCCAGCGGTGCTTCCCCCCCGGGTGTGAGTCCCTCAAGGTAAGGATCCGACCCTGCGCCTTACGCAGATGATTTTAATCATGATGCAGTTTCTAGCTGTGTGTTAATAATGAAATTAAAGAGGGGATTGATGACATCTCCCTGCCTGTGTATTGGGCTGAGCTTCCTACTGTGCATTTACCCCCTGCAGTGAGTCCCCCCGTGCCCGCCCTGCCACTGGCTGCCTGCCCGCACCCCTCCAAATAGGATTTGCTTGTTTCGCACATGTGTCCAGGCCAGCAAATCCCTCCCGAATTAATTAACAAGAGCCATGCCGAGGCGCCAGCTGCTGTAAAGCCAAGCCAGGTGGGTTCGGGGATGCAAAGGGCTGCCCCGCGAGGTCACATCAGGACAACCCCGTGCCCGAGCGCTGATGCTCTGGGGGCTGCTGCCCGGCTGGGAAGCCTTTGCCGTTGTCTCACCAGTGAGGATGGCCAGGGCCACCCAGTTGATGGAGCCTTCTCCCACCACAGGTCGGGGTGCAGGACGTGGCCCAGCTCGGTGCTGGTGGCTGCTGCTCAGGGAGGTGGCAGTGAGGGGCTGTCGGTCCCCAGTGCCCTGCTGGGATGCCCGACTGGTGCTGTGGCCTCTCTGATGGCACCCGCTCCGGCAGCACCCGGCACCTGCGGTGCTGCAAAGCTTCAACCCTGCAGAGAGGTGCAGGAAGGAGCCCTGGTTCCTCAGGCTTTTTTCCAGCACCTCCCTCCCCAGGTCAGGGGTACCCCCGGCCCAGCCGGGCAGCTTGGCCCAGTGACAGGGTGGCTGCAGGAGCGAGTGGCTCCCGGCTGCCCTCAGTCACCGCGCTCAGAGGGTGTTCTTCAGAAACACTTGGCTCTTCCTAAAGCAAAACCCACAGCAGCCAGAGCTCATTCCTGGGCACCCTGGGAGAAAACCAAGAGAGACGGAGTTTTTCTGCTTCTAAAGAGAAGAGAAAGTGAAGCGTGGCCCCCTCCTAAAGGGAAAACAGTTGAAACCAAAAAAGCCAACTCCGAAATGTCAGCAGAAATCAAACACCGCTTCTCTCTGATTTCTCCAGCTGGGAAGGGCTCAGCCCTGTTTCACAGCCTCACTTGCTCCAGCCGGGCACATTAACAACTCTATTTATGCTCTATTTATTCAAAGCCATGTGGCTAACTTGCCCCAGCCGTTGACGGGAAGCACGAGGCACGTGTGGCCAACACATCTCGGGGCTGGGCGGGATGGCACTGGGCAGCCCCTGAAGCAAAGTGGGGAGCAGCAGGGCCACCCCTGTCACTTTGGGAAGGTCAGGAGAGGCAGCTGAGGTGAGTGCCTGGTCCCAAGCATCCCCCAGACATGGTCCCACTGGGGGCTGTCCCTTCAGCCAGGAGAGGAGAGGGGCTTGCAGCAGGGCCTGGGGACCCCGGCAAGGAGACCTGTCGCTCTCCCTCCCCCATAGCCCCACCCTGGGCTGTATGGATGGTGAGCAAAGTGGGGCTTAAAGAGGGACGTGGGGTGTAAGGACGCCTCCTCCTGCACACCCCACAGAAAAGCAAAAGCCAGTCAAGTCAAAGGCAAAGCTCTCACGGCAATGAGTGCTGCTCATTAAGCAAACAAGGAAGGATCTGTAGCTAATCAGGGCCTGACAAGCAGCTCCTCTGCTTGCTCAATAAATAGCAGTGAAGGCCTGAAGCACCTT